TTTTTTTGAGAAAATGCATTTTGTAATAGTGTTATGATGAAGAATATGTGGTTAAAAAATAATAAAAAATTTTAGATTTGCTTGTAATATTATTTTATTAAAAAATATATGATTAAAATGAGGTCAAATCACTATTAAAAAATACATTTTAGTGAAAAAAGGGGATTCCAAGGACTAAGTTGGACCATTAAAATACAAGAACTGATTTAGTGCCTGTTTGGCCACCATTATTCCATATTATAATGAGAGGAATAATATTTTTTTGGAGAATGTGTGATTAAAAAATGAAAAGTTTTTGAGTTTACGTGTAATATTATTTTATTGGAGATTGTGTGGTTGAAAAGAAGATAGAAACAAATGAATTATAATTTAATGGGGAATAATGGGTTCAAGGGCTTATGACACACAAACGCCATCAAAACCCTATTCTCATACACAGCTAAAGCTTTGAAATCTTAGCTCCAGTCATACTGCCCACCTACAGGCAAATTCTCCGTTTCACCTGCATTTTTCCCCACACCCACTAGCGGACACAAGCGGGGCTGGGGTGGGCACGTGCCCCCGCCCAACTTTGCTTTGCTTTGCTTAGCATTTTTTTTTTAATTTTCTTTGTTTTGTTTCAATTTTCGAAATTATTATAAAATGTGAAACGAAATCGAATCATTGCATTCTTAATATCATTCCGAAGCGCTCACAGCCTAGTTTTTTATGTCGTTAGTGGCGTGTGAAACGATCAATCATAGCAAATGTTACGACTTGTCAAAGTAGGCGGTTTAAAATTAGTANTTAAAAATTTAATTATTTTATTAACATTTATTATTTTTGTGATTCAAATTTCTTAATGTAATTTGCATTATTTTATTAGAAAATTTATATAGGATATGACATCAAAAATTTTCGAAATTTTACATCCGAAAAAGTCATATTCCATGTAACTTTTCGGATGCAAAATTACAAGGGGTATGATTTTTTTGGATGTAGTGCCCCCCAACTTTAATTGTCTGCGTCCGCCCTTGCCCACACCCACTTTTTAATCATTTGTTTCAGCAATTAAATCTCATTTTTCTATGAATATATTTTGTTGTAGATCACAACCTTAAGGGAAAATGTCGGTTGGAGAGATCGCTTTCACCTACGCTTCCTTGATCCTCCATGATGATGACATCGCTGTCACCCTAAGTTCTCTCTTTCACATGTATTTATGCATACTCGAATACGTAGTGACACACGTTGAAAGAATTAATGGACGTTTTTTTATAAATGTTTAATCTTCTCTGTAGGCTGAAAAGATAGCTACACTGTTAAAGGCTGCCAACGTTACGGTGGACTCATATTGGCTGATTCTTTTTGCCAAGCTTTGTGAGAAGAGGAACATTGTGGACCTAATCACGAATGTTGGCTCTGGTGGCGGTGGCGGTGGCGGTGGCGCTGTTGCAGTTGCAGTTGCTGCCCCTACTGGCAGAGTTGGTGGAGCTCCAGCTGCTGTAGCTGCCCCGGCTGCCGAGGAAAAGAAGGTGCAACCACTAACACATTCATTTACTCCACATTTATCTTCATTATATTAACACTTGGGGCATTAGCATATCAATTCGGATTCGTTTGTGTTTTTTTTTAATTGTTTAAATAATTTAATAAATGTGTTTTGGTTTTCAGGAGGAGCCAAAGGAAGAGAGTGATGACGATATGGGATTCAGCTTGTTTGATTAAGACGGATGTATGCTTTTGCTCCATTTTTAGTTCCAACTTAAGGGGATATCCAAATTTGAGTTATTATTTACTCCTTGCAGAGCTTTTGTTTTTGGTTAAAATCTGATGCTGGATTTTTGATAAATGTTATGCACAAAAGTGTCGAATTTTGTTTTTAAGATTAAATTTTTTGAATGTGTTTTAAATGGGTTATTTTTGTGTATTACATATTTAGTTCTGGATTCAGAGTTACTTGTTATTTGGAACGTGTGCAAGACTATGAATTTTTTTTATTTTTATAGTTATCCTTCTGCACAAATGATTATTAAGCTATGTCATTTTCATTAGCACAACCCAACATATCAAGGACCGCAACTTTACTTAACCTCTTGACCCAATTGCAGTCGCAGTTTGCCCAACTTTTACTGCACATTGTAAATATTAATTTAGTTTTAGTTGTAATTTTCTTTCCATTGTAATAGTTTATTTCACTTGTAAAATAGCTCTGATATTGGTAAACGTTTACTATGATTTCTCGACATTTAAACGTCTACTCCTAACAGTTTTCCCAACTTCAACCATACATTGTAAATATTAGTTCAATTTGAGGTGTAATTTTCTTTCCATTGTAATAGTTTCTTTCAATTATAAAAAATCTATGATATCGGTAAACGTTTATTATGATTTCTCGTTATTTAAAAGTGTACTCATATCACTTAGATTTCTGTTCCGCAAGCTATTATAGGGGGTATTAGTCATTCAAAAATCTTTCAAACTTACTGGTGTTCGCCCCCTGCACCAAAAATTGTAATTTTCTGCTTCATCAATTGTAATTTTCGCTTTCAATCAATTAATGATCAATTTACTTTCAATGCAAACTTTCTACAAATTGTAATCAATTTTTTTTTGTCCTGAAATGACTGAAAAAAAAGGCGGAAGGTAGTCTAGCGGAGCAGACTACTGCCGCACGGTGTCCCTTTCTATGCCAATAAGAAAGGCACCCCGTGAAAGTTGATATCAGAGTTGCAGCTCACGACCCTCAATAAGAAAGCTATGGATCCAATTACATCAAACACTACAAAAGTCGTAGATTCTCAAAAGTGGAATACGAAACAGCTTGTGGATGCGCTTGATCAGACAGCTACTAGGTTGTGCTATGCTGAGGAGGGCCTCGAGGAAAAACTCGAGGTGGCAAGACGAAAATTCGTGAATTACACATCCAACTGGATGAAAGCCGAAGAGCTTGCACATCAATGATTGAAACTGTTGCTATCACACTTGATCTGTAGGATGAAATGGAAGCGTTGAGAGCTCAATTACTAGTACTTCAACGTGCGGTTGGCAATGGGCAAGCCCCCGCACAAGAGTATGTTTCGAATAGGGCTGGACATAGTCCGGTTCGGTTCGGTCTGGTTCTGAAGAGAACCGAAACGAACCAAAATTTTAGGGTATTTAATAAAAGGAACCGTCGGGTCCAAAAATAATTATGGAATCGCTCAAGTTCAGTTCCGTTTGGTTGTATTCTGTTCGATTTCGTACCATAATTAAATTTTTAAATAGATTTCTAATGGTCGACGATCGGTGGTCGTAGGTGGAGGTCACGGCTTCGATGGACATTGAGAGGGGAAGTCGGACTCGACAGTCGGCAATTTCGATTTGGGCATGTAGATGTAGGTTTTTAATTTATCAAATAATTTGAGGTCATTAACTCAGTGGTACCAAATGAAAGTGTGAAATTAGAAAGAGAATGATAAAAACTTAAAAATGTTTAGATCTTGGGCTAAGAATGAAATTAATAATAGGACAAAAAAATTAAATCAAAAAATTGAATTTAGAAATTGAGTTGAGTTGGGCTACCTAGGCATAAACTTGAGTTGGGAGTTAGAATATTAATTACTAAATTAGTTGCTAATGTGTTTAGAAAATATAAAAAAAATTAATTAATTTAATATAAAAATTAAAAAATTTATTTAAATTCGGTTCTTATTTGATTCTGGGTCTAGAACCGAGAATCGAACCAAACCCGTCGGTTCTCGATTCAGATACCCGTTCGGGTATTTAACTTATGAAGAACCGCTCTGTTCGGTTTAGTTCGTTTCGGTTCAGGAGTTTTGTCCAGCCCTAGTTCCCTAGCTCAAAATTCCGGAACCAGGTACCTACGGAAGAGGACGCGATGCAAAAGAAGTCGAGAACTTCGTGTTTGATATGAAACAATATTTTCTTGCGACTTCGATCAAAGACGAAGCAAGAAAAGTTACAACAGCTACCATGTATCTTGGTGGAGATGCAAGAACATTACAATACAAGCACGTCCTCGTGATTTAGCAACATCAAGTCGCACGATCTTTAAATCACACAGTGGGTAGTGTGAATAGAGAAAATGACACTTCAATTAGTAAGTCACATTGACCTTCAAAGTTTACATCCATTGAAAAAAGACTAGTTTGAACTTACTACTCACCAAAATAAAAATAAAAATTGTGACTTAACAAAAAATTGCCAACACTATGTTAACAATCTCAGCTTAACAATTCAATTGCTCAAGTACTAGAATCTATCTTTTCCAATACTTGATAAAGTTCTTATCTCTATTTTCTGGAGTAGTATGACCCACATCAGTCTTTTATTACGTGATTGATGCTCTCTAAAACATTATATTCTTCTAGTACATTCAAAATCTTATAATGTCAAATGTTATCACATTTATTAAGGTCAACAACTATAGACTTTAATGTCACGATCTATGAGATTTTAGAGACACTTTTATCCTCAAACAATGCTCATTTATGCACATATACAATTTTGCATTAACGCAAATTAACGTATACGATAATTCAACGTTAGGCACATAGTTGAAAGTTCACTATATTTCCAATCATCTTCCGCAATCTTATTGTTTCACTATCATAATGCAAATTTCATAATGCAAATTTTCATGAGTTCTAAGCGACAATTACGTTAATTCTTTCAGTTTGAGAACTCCCACTCAGTTGGCGAATCAAAATAGTAATAAGTACGATTTTCTCTAAATATTGCCATTACTAAACTATCATTCAACTGAAAATCAATAGGTTTAAGTAAGAATATCACCAATTGTACTGACCTTAGCATTCATAACAATTCATGAATTAACAGATATCGTGTAATACAATAAGGTAATTCCATAATGTCCAGTAAAAGCATAAATATGCACGTTTATCCAATTATGGCATATATCATGGTATCACAAATTAATTCTTTCAGAAAATAATTCTAATTATAATCGAAAAATAAAACTCACATCATTTAAGTTTTAATATACAAACTTTCAATATCACTTTAATATCTATTGCAACACAATTCTGACAAATGGGAAGTGACATCAGAATTCTCATATTCTGCTTATTACAAAAAAAAATTAAAAAATTAAAAAATTGTCTCAAAAATATTTACATGTTCCATTAGGTTATGTTCCGGATTCATTTATTAATTTCAATAAGTACATAACTTTTCAATAAGTTCTACAACCTTTTCTTTTCTAGCATTTCCTCTAAGAATGCTATAAGTATGCATAGATCCAGTAATATCTTGATCAAGCACAAAAAATTAGAAAGAAGTTATAATGGATCACATAACCTAATCAAGACTCACACAACTCATGAACGTATATAAAACGTGATATTTTAAATACTTTTAGAGTATTTTTCATTTTCAAAA